ACCTCCCCACTGACCCCATACCCCCCACCCCCATACCCGGCACTCCGGCCACCCCTCTCTGCAGCCCCGGTCCTCCAGCCCTGGCCCGGTGCGCGCCGCCCTCCCCGAGGGGTCCGACGGTGAAGGGGAAGGGGCTTCCCGGCACGTGCTGCCCGCGGAACTTGACGGCCACGCTGTGCGCCCCCAGCTCCTCGGGCACGAAGCGCACCCGGTAGGCGCCGCCCGGCCCCGCCTGCACCTCCGCGTCCGAGCGCTGCCCCGACGGGCTCAGCACCTGCGCCGACAGCTCCGGGGGGGCCGCGTCTGGGGGGGGGAGAGATGGGGGCTGCGAGGGCGCCGCGGGGCGCTGCGGGGCATGGCGCTGCATTGCAGGGCATGGCAGTGTGCTGTGTGGCAGGGCATTGCAGGGCATGGCATTGCAGCGTGCTGTGTGGCAGGGCATTGCATTGCACGGCATGGCAGCGTGCTGTGTGGGAGGGCATTGCAGGGCATGGCGCTGCATGGCATTGCACGGCATGGCAGCGTGCTGTGTGGCAGGGCATTGCAGGGCATGGCATTGCAGGGCATGGCATTGCAGGGCATGGCATTGCAGGGCATGGCAGCGTGCTGTGTGGCAGGGCATTGCAGGGCATGGCAGCGTGCTGTGTGGCAGGGCATTGCATTGCATGGCATGGCAGTGTGCTGTGTGGGAGGGCATTGCAGGGCATGGCATTGCAGGGCATGGCATTGCAGGGCATGGCATTGCAGGGCATTGCATTGCAGGGCATGGCATTGCAGGGCATGGCAGCATGCTGTGTGGCAGGGCATTGCAGGGCATGGCATTGCAGGGCATGGCAGCGTGCTGTGTGGCAGGGTATGGCATGGCATTGCTTTGCAGGGCATGGCATTGCAGGGCATGGCATTGCAGGGCATGGCATTGCAGGGCATGGCAGCGTGCTGTATGGCATGGCATTGCTTTGCAGGGCATGGCATTGCAGGGCATGGCGCTGCATTGCACGGCATGGCAGCGTGCTGTGTGGCAGGGCATTGCAGGGCATGGCACTGCAGGGCATGGCATTGCAGGGCATGGCACTGCGCTGTACAGCACGGCAGGGCACTGCAGGGCATGGCATTGCTTTGCATGGCATGGCATTGCAGGGCATGGCATTGCTTTGCATGGCATGGCATTGCATGGCACAGCAGGGCACTGCAGGGCATGGCATTGCTTTGCATGGCATGGCATTGCATGGCACGGCAGGGCACTGCAGGGCATGGCATTGCTTTGCAGGGCATGGCATTGCAGGGCATGGCATTGCAGGGCACTGTGCTGTATGGCATGGCATTGCATTGCAGGGCATGGCATTGCATGGCATTGCACTGTATGGCATGGCATTGCATTGCATGGCATGGCAGTGTGCTGTATGGCATGGCATGGCACTGCAGGGCATGGCATGGCATTGCAGGGCATGGCATTGCATTGCAGGGCATGGCACTGCAGGGCATGGCATTGCATTGTATGCCACGGCATGCCATTGCATTGCATGGCATGGCATTGCATTGTATGCCACGGCATGGCATTGCATTGCATGGCATGGCATTGCTTTGCAGGGCATGGCATTGCACGGCATGGCACTGTGCTGTATGGCACGGCATGGCATTGCTTTGCAGGGCATGGCATTGCATGGCATTGCATTGCATGGCATGGCATTGCACGGCATGGCACTGTGCTGTATGGCACGGCATGGCACTGCACAGCATGGCATTGCATTGCATGGCATGGCATTGCATTGCAGGGCATTGCACTGCAGGGCATGGCACTGCATTGTATGGGATGGCATTGCATTGCGGGTCATGGCATTGCATGGCATGGCATTGCATTGCTTTGCACTGTATGGCACGGCATGGCACTGCACGGCATGGCATTGCATTGTATGGCATTGCGCTGTATGGCACGGCATTGTATGGCATGGCATTGTATGGCATGGCATTGTATGGCATTGCATTGTATGGCATTGCATGGCATGGCATTGCATTGCGCTATATGCACGGCATGGCATTGTATGGCATGGCATTGTATGGCATTGCGCTGTATGGCATGGCATTGCATTGCACTCCCCCCCTTTCACTCTCCCCCCTTGCACACTCACATATACTTGCACACTCCCCCTTTCACACTCACACACCCTCGCACACTCACACACCGTCTCCCCCTCCCCCCGGCCATACAGACCCTCCTGCGCTCGCGCAGCCCCGAACCCTCCGAGGAATCCCCCGAAGACGCCGTGGAAGGGCTCAGCTCCCACCCTGGTGGACTCTTGCACGCGCACCTCCCTGGTGGTTTCCCCGCCGCGCGTTTTGCTGATCTCGGTGCGCTCGGTGCGCGTGTAAGTGTGGCTGCTGCGCGTGAACGTGCGTGTCAGCCGCTCCTGCGCCGACACCATCTGGAACCAATTGCCTGCGCCGGGAAACGGGGGCGTCAGCGGGGGCGTAGGGGGCAATGGGGACATCTGGAGACAAATGGGGACCTGTGGGGACATCTGGGGGGCAATGGGGACATCTGGAGACAAATGGGGACATCTGGGGACATACGGGGACATCTGGAGACAAATGGGGACAGGTGGGGACATCTGGGGGGCAATGGGGACATCTGAAGACATATGGGGACGTGTGGGGACATACGGGGACATCTGGAGACAAATGGG